CTAAACTACTTAGTTAGGTTGAGACAACTAAACCACTTAGTTAGGTTGAGACAACTAAACCACTTAGTTGGTTTGAGACAACTAAACCACTTAGTTGGTTTGAGACAACTAAACTACTTAGTTAGGTTTAGACAATAAAACTTCAGACAAGTTCTACAAACAACACCTTCTAAAAATCTGACAACACGTTTTACGATCCGGTTCTTTTTTGAGGGGACCCAAAGCGGTGATGCCGGTCTATAATCTCTGATTCATGATGAAGCTGTGATGTAAAGTCTCTTGTGTAGTCTGTGGTTGATGGTTCACCTCAACTTTCACTTCACAGCAACAGAACCTCTTTCTTTTTTGGTCTGCTAGAATCATAACGTTGCCCTGTGGTTTGATTTGAACCCTGATGATGATCATCTGTCCTCTGAGTCCATGTAAGGCATGATCACTCACACACACATCTGATGGCCGGAGACTATAGACGGTTATATTTACAGAGAAGAACTGTCCCGGCCATGTGTTTGTGGGTGTGACGGTGAACATAAAAGGGACAGTCCTGAGCTTTGTGAACGGATCCTCTTGAGCTGATGTGGCAGCTGTGAGCTCGCTCTGAAAATCCTGAGTAATGCGGTGAGGTACGGGCCTAATAGACTGTGAGAATGCTTGTAATGCCAGTTTGTTGACATCAGAGTTTAGTTTAGGGTCTTAGGGCAACAAGTTGACGGTGCAACAAAAGAACGGATTGATGTTGATGTCGGAAATCGTTCTTAAAGTATTAGTCTGGCTGTGTTCACATTGAAACCAACAGTAAATGTTTCCACTATAAAGTATCCTGATAAGAGCTCCATTAAAACTGTAGTTTATTGTGACTCAGCCACACATACAAATACTCACTAGAGCAACACATGTGGATTCATCCGCTGCTGAAAATAGTCCCCAGCAAAGTCTCTATTCCCTCCTGTTAGTTTGATAAAAACTAACTTATAAAACTACATATTTGTGTTTTTAAAGATTGACTTCAGTATGAACCAATGAGACAATATGGGATTTGATGACAATAAGAAAAATATAGATGTTAGTTATTTGGAACCATTCTTTGAAATCTATAAGTTTGATGCTAGCACATATATCAGAATTATACCCACAATGCACTTTAAACATCCTCTATATCAGGGGTATTCAATTAAAATTCCAAAAGGTCCAGATTGAGAAAATCTCCTCGGGCAAAGGTCCGGAACATTACAATAATATCTAACTTGCGCTATTTAGTGCTATATATATATTGAAGAAGCCTAGTAGTAGTAACGTCTCTGTGTAGTCAACAACTGTCAAATCAAATAAAGAAAGTACACATCAATTATATTTTAACAAATATTATTCTCAGTTTTCAAATTTAACTGGATGGATTATAAATAATACATATAAATACATAAATACATGTTCTCTAATTTCAAGTAAAATAAGAGCTGGATTAAAGAATAACTGATATAACAGAAAGCTTTTCAAAAATGTGCATCTTAAAATAAAGTAATTCATTTTAGAAAAATGAATTTCACTGAATTGTCCTGCAGCTTTAAATTCAGTTCATTGAGGTGTGAAGTGATGTCAATCAAAAAGTCACAATATTATATTTTTCTCATCTTCTAACAAGAGAAATGTTTCTGCATGGACTTTATCTGTGGTTATTAAACCACTTGTTTCAGCTCTATTCTCTCTGGTAACATCATTGTTGGGCAGTGAACTCATGCGTTAGGATTCTGATCATATTGGGCTCTCAGGTTTATTTTCTGTGACTTCATTTAGATGTGAGTGGGTACGTTTGCTCAAAAGAGTTGTGCTTTGTCTCGTAGTGTCGCTTCATTTACCGCTTTTAATAATCGTCACGGTCTCTGAACATGTGAGACACACTGGTATTAAACTGTCCGTGTGAAGAATGAACCTGTAAGAGTCTGTCCATTCTTGGTTAAAGACTCTGGTCTCTCTGACCACTTTTCTCTCTTTGGAGAGCTTCATGTGAAATAACTTCTCTGACTCGCGTATTATTCTCCTGCTCTTCCTTCTCTTTCCTCATCTCTCCCCCGGTGTGTGTACATCTCACTCGATTCAGGAAAAGTGTCAGAATACCCATATTTGATTGGCTGAGCTGCATCACGTGATGAGATTTACAACGCATTGGTCGGTGTGCTTCCTGCACTGCTGAACAAGTGCCATAAAGGCTGAAAAAGCTGCGCCGGTTAAAATAGAAGCGCCCTGTCAAAATAAAATTGACTTTAGGTCCTGGGACGGATACAACAGCGTCTGGGTCCGGATCCGGACCTGCATCTAATGTATCACTGAGGATTTTGAACTTGATTTATTCTACCAAAATACGTGTTTTATTTATAGTTTAGCTGATGCTCAGACTGAATATCAGCAGCTGATTTAATTTAACATTAATCAGATTGAAGTTGATATTTCCTCAAGTGGTTTTACAACAACGTGTTTAGCTTCATTGGTTTGACCCAAGCTGTTCTCGTTTGTTGTAGATTAAAAGGATTTTTATTAGAAATGTGATAAACATTAAGAGCTTGAACGACTGGGAGGCGACTGGTTTGGTTGGTCCTGGAACCAACAGGATGTTTTTTGTTTGGTTGAGACGTACGATGATGCTTTTAATAATGGTGAAGCCTGCGGTAGATACCCGACTTCGTTGTTTTGCAGCATGACACTTTCCATCCAAATGAATCGCACATTTTAACCCAGTTTCAGGAAAATCGGCAAAAGAAAATGCTAATGTATGTTTGCATCCTCCACTACCGTTGTGCGATTATTAGGAATTGGTCCATTGAGGTCAACGGTCACACCAATGAAGAAGAACAGCGGCGCAATTAGATGAAGTCATTAAGAGCACGGCAGTCAAAACTCAAAGGGTGAAACACAAAGAAGTCACATGCTTCATGCTCATCATTTCTTCACTAAATCTGTGTCCATTGCACTTTATATGCATTCACTTTTCCATCTCAGCCAAACGTTCATACAAATTGAAAAAGTTGCATAAAAACAGGTGGATGGAAATGCTGAAAAGAGTAATTCACCATTTAAAAACTAAACAGAACTAAAAGCCCCGTCGTCTGCTTTTGAAGGTTTTTAGGAATGTTCTTAAAGAACGGTCAGGAAGGCATGTCACCCTTTCATAAATACAATAATACATAATTGCTCACCGTCTCCAGTAAATCGCGGCTGAAAACGTTTCTGTTTGCTTTTCCTGGGGTTGTTTAAAGATAGTTTTGTATTGAAGCACTTCTGAACTCAAAGACGTTTTGACGCATTTTTTCACTCCTTCACATGTTTCTCTCTGTGTTCTTGATCTTCTCTGTAACATGAAGTCCTTCATCTCTATGAAACAGAACCATGATGAGTAGAAATAGAAAGAACTAGAACATGTCTTTAGTGCAGAACAACACAGTTATGATGACATCATTAAAAAGAATATATTTAAAAAAAATCTTCTGGGGTTCAGAGGGTTAAATCCTTTAAATACGTTATAATTAATTAAATATGAATAGTCTTATTTTCTGTTGATGTGTTTTGCATGTTCAGGCTTAAAGCCTCTTGAATGACCTTTGTGTGTGGACGTATTGCCTTTAAAGTGTGTGCATGTGTTCTTGTGTTCAGATGTCTCGGTTTCTGGACCTGGCGGAGTTTGGAGAAGCTGCTCGCTTCCTTCGTCTCACCAACTTGGAGCAGCTGGCTGCTATCGCCCGGAATTATGATGGTAGATATGCTGCACACTCAGACGGGTTCTCCATACTCATAATACACACATACACCTGAATAAAGAACTGTGTATTCTCCAAAGGCACAAAGCGAGTCTGGATGCCCGATGATGTTGAAGCGTACATCGAGGTGGAGGTTAAAGAGCTGAACGGAGACAAGACCACTGTGGAGACCAAGGACGGACGGGTTCGTCAGTCCGAACTCCTCCATTATTTTACAGGCTCTGATGAAATCTGGACTGATCAAATATGTATTTAATGAAATGCAGATGAACTTCTAAATGATTTGATTGGCTCCATAGTTGACTGGATGGTCACTCAGGTGTAGAGACGTAGCTGAAGCAGTTTGTCTTGTAGACTTGTTTTCTGGAGGATTGCACAACGAGGATGCTCTCACGCTCGTAAAAGTTAAACTCATGTAAAACTTATTTTCCAGAAATGTCTGCTTGTTTTATACTTTGACCAATGCTGAATTTTAGGGGCCGATACCGATATCAATATTATATGATAAACATCTTTGATGATGAGACCGTTGGTTTCTCTCTAACAGTTAAAGAAAGTATAAAGATAAGCAGCAGACTGTCTCTAAACATCTCTGAGCTGGTGGAACTGTTTCATGTTCGTGTTTCAGTTTATGGTGGTGAAAGAAAACGAGCTGCAGCCGCTGAACCCTTCAAAGTTCGACATGCTGGAGGACATAGCCATGCTGACGCACCTGAACGAAGCCTCGGTGCTCTTCAACCTGAGGAGGAGATACAGCATGTGGATGGTCTATGTTAGTGTTTCTTCTGCTGCACCTAAAACACTGAGCTTATGAACAACATTGGGTTTTCATGATTAGAAGACATGTAGATGATCTCTTGATGTGCTTGTTTTTAGACTTACTCTGGTCTATTCTGTGTGGCGGTCAACCCGTACAAATGGCTGCCGGTCTACTCGACTCAGGTGGTCGCGGCGTATAAAGGGCGGCGTCGTCTGGAAACGCCGCCTCACATCTACGCCATCGCCGACAACGCCTACCTTGACCTGCTGCAGAGTGAGTCACCCGTAACCTCTGACCCCTAACTTCAGCGCTGCTGCTAGGCGACTCTGACAGCCACCGCTAACAGGCTAACCGTGCTACAAGTCTGCTAGCCTGAGGCTTTTCTACTGTTAGCGTCACTGCTGTTCATCCTCATAACATGAACCAGAGCAGCTTATTTTAGGAAGTTGTTTTGTTCAGTTTAATTGGCAAAATTATGAAACACTTTTTCAATATTGCCTTTAATTTCCTGTTAAAGCTAATTAACATTAAATAACATTACTGGAAATGGCGTCATTATTTAATAACACCGCAAAAAAATGAAGGAAGTTTGACTTAAAAAAAAAAAAATTATGTAATTTTCTGCCAGAAAGCGAAGCTGCACATTTCCTGAAATGTTGAATCTGTCCTTTAAATGTATTTTCCCCTGTTGGTTCACGAGGCTTCATTTTCCTCCGCAGATCGAGAGAACCAGTCGATGTTGATCACGTGAGTCAGAACCTCGGCTGCTTTAACATTACAGACTTTAAATGCTGCATTTCAATAAATGTAACGTCATCAATTTAATTAGCAAGAAATGTCAAAATAAAGCAATACACACTATAAGTACGTCTCCATCAGAGAGTCTTGTTATTTAATTCATGACTTGAGTGTTTAGTGATCTTTGTTCTGTAACTTGTGTCGTCCTGTCAGCGGTGAGTCGGGTGCAGGAAAAACTGTCAACACCAAGAGAGTGATTCAGTACTTTGCCATCACCGCTGCTCTGGGGGAGAATGTGAAAAAAGGAGTAGGTCCTCTCAACATCATGTCTTCATTAGCATCTTGTTGCTGCAGTTTAAAAATGAGCGCCCTCTGGGAATACTGAGATTTTATTGTGTTTCTACCAGGAGACAACCTCCAGTTCTGTAAAGTGAAGCCCAAGCTTCATGTGTTACAGCTGCATTCTCTCTAGTGTCCATCAGGGGGCGACTCCTCTGGTTGT